GCACTAAAAAAAGAAAAAAGTGTGAACAGAAAGTGGTGGGGGAGAAAGGGGAACAGATGTGAAGTCAGGAAAGTGCACTGCTGGCAGGGAGGGAGAAATGAGGTCAAGAGCCAACAAGCAGGAGCAGCAGTATTTGCTGAACAGTGTTAGCTCACCAAGGGAGGCAGTATTAGGCCTTTATTCAAAAAGGCAGTGTGCAGAAGAAAAGCATCAGCAAAATGAGTGGCTGCAGCGCATTACAGCCCACAAAAGTACGCTGGCTGCAAGCCCGTGCTGCTGCTATCACTACCCACACTTTGTGCCCTCCCTCTTGAAATCAATCAATGATCTGCTGCCTGGTGGGAGGAAGCTGGAGAACTCTCAAGGAGCCTGCAGTGGGTCAGATATTTTGTTTGTCATCTGCTGCAGAACTGCAAGAGAGAAGGACCTTCTCCTAGGAGCCAGCCCTCATGTAACAAGTGCTCCACTTGATACCATACCTAGAGAAAGCTGGAAAAAGCAATTAACTGCCTCTTTTACATGCAGAGTCTGCTCGCAAAAGAACAAAAGCTTCCTACACACATTATTAATTTGGTTCAGCACAACAGTAGATTGAGCCTATCATATGTCCCATCCCTATTCCCACTCTCCCTCCAGCCTGTAATCTTGTGTAGTACACCCAGGCGTTGGTGTGAATGTCAGGTGGTTAAATATCCCTTTGACACATCTTTTCTACAGGTAGATCTGACCTATAATTCCTTGTCAGTGATTAGTTAATTGACAGGGACAATGTCAGAAGCCTTATCTCAGGTATGAGGCAGACCTGAAGAACAGTTACTATTCCTGGGAGCTGGCCTTACCTTCCAACTATACACTCTGATTGTCACAGCTACAGCAAAGAACTAACACTGACTCACTATGTAGGTACATGCAAAGTTAATTAACTGCTCCTCACCTCAGTTTCCTATTCATAAAAAACTGATGAAAATGTTTAGCCACCCTGATAAAAAGCTCATTAATATTAATATGCAACCTCAGTATCTACAATCACCATCAGCATAAGATCAGTGTATATTACAGCACACACATACAATAACAGAAACAACTCAGTCATGCGCACATTGTTTTAAAACTTTTTAAGAAATTTGTACATCAGCTCCAAAGACTCCCAAATTCTGATTATCCTGTGTATAGAAAATGATGCATAAGTTTAAAGGAAAAAAAATTTAGCATTTGCAGAGCAGCAAATTGTACCATTTCAGGAATGTCTGTCATCGAATGTTTGAGTAATCTGGACCATGTTTCTCACCTCTCAGGTTTTCTTGCATTAGACAAATTAATATAGCATTTTATCCAGTGCACTCCACTTACTGGAGAGTTCAATTCAATTACTGGAGAGGAAAAATTCACATGGTGAAGACATTTGTTAAGCCGTTTTTTCAAAGAAGTGCTGCTCATTCTCTGTAGTTTATGTCTACCTGTATTTCAGCTGTAAGAAACCGCTGTCACAGGGAAGACAGCTGTCAGGATTCAATTTAGTCTACTTAGTCTTTTACAAGGCCAAAATTAGCTTCACCTTAATTAACTTAGTTTCTCCACAGACTAATGGATCTATCCCAATTTCCTCAGCCTTCAGATCACTTACTTAAGTGATCTGAAGATGATATTTTCTTGTCTTAAATAAGCAGAAGCCTGATTAGTTTGAATTTTTTAAGATGACTGCATTTCTTATGCCCCATCCATCTGAAGTGTGGGACTTTTTCAACCCAGTGCCAAAAGCCTCCTACAAACAGCTAAGTACATTCAGGAAGGACTGAGGTTGTTCAGAGCTAGGCAGAATTTATCCTGCTTAATAATAAGGAAACAAAAGACAACCATAAATGAATCTGAGACTGATGACTTAGAAGGAATGCTATGCCATAATAAGCCTAGCTAGTTATCCAGGGCCCAATGCAAAAGCATACTGAAAGTACTGGAAAAAATCCTCCTCTTGTGTTTAACAGGACTTGGAGCAGTAGCCCTTTATGGGGCAAAGGGCCTTTAAAATGTCGTTTCCTACAATAATCCCACAAAAGGAAATTTCCTTTGACAAAAACAAAGCAGCAGATCTTCTGAAGGACAAAGAATGCACAAAAGATGATCAGAAAACATAATATGTGGCCAGATAATACCTGTAACCTACTAGCAGATTGAAGTATTATCTTGTACTATAATTCAAGCATGAAGCTTATGTTGTGGTTCATTTTTTTTCCTTTCCTTTCCTTTCCTTTCCTTTCAATATTATAGCACTGACTATCCTTGCTGCCAGTATGGGATTTTTTTGAGTCATCTGTGAGCGTAATTTAATTTAGAAGGTGGAGCTTTTTGCCTTTGAAAAATAAAATTGAGTTTTAATGTTAAGACAGACAATTCACTCCAGGTAAGTTTCCCCAATGATCAGAGCAGATATGCTCCTCCATGAGACCCTTAAGCATTAGAATAGCAAAGGCAAAAATAGCAATATGAAGTGAAATGTAAACTGAGACAGACTCAGAGATGTGTCCAAGGATCACAGTATCAAGTTAAGGAAAAGCCGAATTCTGACACTGGTCTGATATGGATTATATGCCAAGAACATCCATTCCTTCTTAAATTAAATAGAAATTACTTTTCACATACAAAAGAAAAATATTTCTCTAGCAATGAATGAACAAACTGAGCACTGCACGAAATCTGAAAACTTTAAATCATCTTGGATACAAAAAGGAGCTGGAGAGAGATGGGTTACAATTCAGAAACAGTTTTTACAGACTTTATTCCAAAAATCAGTGCCTGGTCAGGAGAGGATTTTGAAGTTTTCGCTCTTTCTGCAGATACACTGATTTCCTGCTGTAATCTGTCTGGAAAAGCTGAGCATTTAGAGAAGCCTTAGCAGCAGCATTCAGAGTCTCAGAGAACTCTAATGCCAATAAGCCTTTGCTAGAGGGTCTGATGGAAAAAAATATATGAACAGATAAGAGATTTGGAAACCCCGATTTTAAATTTGGTACTATTTTTGGCAGGCAAATCCACATTGATCTGAGTCTTGGGAAAAGTTAGTGTAATCCTAATGGCAACAGGGACATAATGAATTTTAGGGAGGAAGTGGAGGGGACAGCTAAATCTGTAAAAATGTTGAACACGTGGCTTTACAGCCTGTCACACATGTTCTTAATTCTGCTCTTGTTCTTCCCTCCACGCTCCATGACTCCAAGAAAATAGAATTGGATGCAAAGCAGAGGAACTAACTACCCATAATAGTGGCAATGCAGCTTTCTAGCCCCGGACTAGCTAAAGTACAGAAGGAATCCAACTCAGTGCAACAGCAACTATGTAGCCTGAAATAGCTCAGCAGAGTACACAAACTTAGGAAAAGGCTAGGTCACTATTGCTCCCACGCTAACATTGTATGTCAACCCTAAAATAACTCAGAAATGGTTAGTTAGAGAGGGGCTGTCTTTTTGGTTTCTGTGTCCCAGTGAAGAATCAGCAGGTCCCATGTCAAAGACAGCTTCCTTGAGGTGGAGTGCTCTTGATTTGCCCTTAGCTACTGCAGATGAAATGCTTCAGAGAAATCATAAATGACATCTTTGAGAACAGATTAGTTTCAGGCTTATTTTATATCAATGTTTTCCTACTTTATGCCCCTTTTCCTGGGGGGAGGGGGAGGGCAGGGAGGGGATGACTACATTTCCAATTTGATAATCAAGAAATTAACTCATAGGTTTACCAGAATTGATTTGTTTTCTTTTTAAGCTTGTCTAGGGTTTTAAATGGATTCATACAGACAGAACAGGGGCAGGCACATCACTGAAGTGCTGTAGACAAACACCACAGAACAGTGGCAAGCAAAGACAAATCTTGGGATCCCAGGGATCAGGGTACATTTCCTACCAAGCTGCGTGTACAAATTTGGGGCAGCTATTATTTGGTCATAGACAAATGGAATAGGTCCCTTGGTAGCTGTCAGTCAGCAGTCTGTTGGACAGGCAGTGCCAAACTGTTATTGCTTTGGAAAAAAATCATTTACAGATGACAAATACCAAATACAGGCTTGATTGTAGAGGGAGGGGGAGTCTGAATGAGGGCGATTGTAGAAGGAGGGGGCTGATCATCTCCAGTCCATAAAATGAAATGCCTGTATAAATTGGTGCCAAGTGAGATTATAAGAATAAAGACCATAATATTGATTGATACTACCTCACTGTTCAATTCATCTATGGGATTCTGTCATCTCTTGTCTTTATTGCAATCTCTCGTCTTTTAGACTATGTTTGCTCAGATCCTAATGCAGAATTATGGCTTTCATGGACGCATCAGCTATGTCTAATCAGCACTGGGGTTATCAAATTATTGATATTTGCAAGGAGGGTGCTGTCAGATTTCAGAAACAACAGATCACCTCAATTGCTTACTACAAAATTCTTCTGGTACTTTCACTACCCAAATTCTGCTTGTTTAGAGATACACTGTTCCCAATTAGCTGATACATACCTCTTCAGAATTATCTCTGATAAATCCTGGTAGCAGAACAAGAATATTGGCACTTGCTATCATAATTGCAGTCCTTGGCACTCATCTCTGTGCTTTGCCTTTCAAGAAAAAGGGGTAGCATCTGCCTCATCACCATAACACCTTCTGCCTGATGGGTGATACTGGTGATGCTATACTTTTTTTTTTTTCCCAGCAGCGGCAGCCCTTTCCCACACTGGTACACCTCTTCCAAAACTTAGCCTCACTGATTTGTAGCACACTAAGCCCTTCTTGCTGAGATCACAGCATTAATACCTTTTTCTGAAACATGCATTTTAGTTTACATTTCACTGTCCTTAAATGCTTAAGTTGCACACGCCTCCAAGGAGGAGAAAAGGTACCCAGCTGACAAGAGCTTAGAAAAAATATGGAATTCACTTATAACCACCTCTGTTAAGGATCCAAGATTTTTTTAAAAAAATATTATAGCTCATATCATTGCAGTAATTACAGCAGGCTGAGATATTCACCTTTTACTGTGACCTGAGCACTGCAAGATGCCTGTCCTGTGTTGTTTTCAGCCAGACAGGTATAAATGCCATCATCTTCTGGTAGGGCATCTTGGACAGTCAATTTTGCAACTCCATCTTCAAAAGTGGAATGGGCATACTGAATTGGTTGGTCTGCAGACAGAAAGGAAGAGAATTGTCTTAATATATCAGCCATAAGTTTCAAAAGCACTTCTTGTTTTTATTGAAATCTGGATGCCTAACACCAGCCAGTATATTAAAGGGCAGACCCAAATCCTGCTCTCTGGAACACAGCCACTGCTCTCCAGTGACTACAAACAGCAGCATCCCAAGCACAAAACGGAATATGGTTGTCAGACAAATGTCACCACTAGGATCACTGGGTGCTACTTTGAATGGCAGCAAGAGGAGAAAGGTTTATCTGTGTATTTTGAATAGATTCAGGTGGACAAGAAAAGAAATGCCTGGTGTGTTTGCTTCAGACATTGTCTCCATCTTGTACTTTGCCTGAAACTAGATATTAGCATTATTGTCTAGATGTGCAAAACCTGCTGGGCATGGAGAAGCACTTAAAGTCCTCCATCAAGTACTTTGTAGTACAAGACTTTCCAAGAGAGACAGCAAAATCTATGATGGAGCCAAGAGGCTGATTTATACAAGCAGTCAATCTACACTACAGTATGTATAGCCTGGTAACAGACAGGTACAGTCTGATCTGTTGTGATGTGACTGTTAAAGAAGTTCAATTTAAGAAACTGGTTCCTTGAATTGGTTTGGAACATGCTTAAATGTTAATGTAGACTGGTTAAAGTTGCTTTGCTATTGTTTCAGGAACTGTCATCAATCTCAGCCTCACTTTCTGAAATGCTTCTGCAATCTGTTTTCCCGATATTAAATAGTTTCCACTACTGACTCATCATTGGTTGCTTTCCCAGTGTATGCAATGCTTAGGAGGGCCTGATATCTGTGCATAAACATCATGCTGGAAAAAGAAATTAGAGTCATCTAAGAGAAGAGGGTGAAACTGCAGAGAAATTGTGCAGGACTGAATCAAAGACATCTGTCACTTGGGAAATCATGATCAAAAGGAAAGATCAAAATCACTTTAATTGCCAAAATGATTTTAAAATATTAGGACAAAAGCTCTGGGGTTTGTAAGAATCAGGTCTGCACTATGAGCAGGATAAATTAAATGATGGGACAGATTTTTCTTTCATCTCTGATTTTCAACACTAGCAAACTCAAAAGGCAGCCATTATCTATGCACTATCTATCTGCATACGAAGCTTCATTCTGAAACACAGACATGTGCCAAAATCAGCATGATCCAATACTTACATAAATTATAAAATGCGGTAGACGATCTTGTTCCTTAACTTGTCAGTCATCCATTTGCTAAGTTAGCAGATTTCCTACCGCATGAAAAACTGGGGTGAACATTTAATCAACTGCCCAGAAGACTCCAATTTTAGACTAAACTCTTTCCACCTTCTTCACAGGTTACATATTCTTATTACTAGTTCCTTTGAGCTTCCTTTCACTCAATTACACACAGACTGTTGTAACTATTAGGTCCAATCACATATTTTTTGCATACGGGAATAACGTTACATTCAAATATGTACATGTAGGGCTAAAGCCCAAGCAGACAAAGCTTTCTGTAAAGACATGGGGCACTGGACTACCTTCCTGGTCTAACTGTAGAATATTTAACCTGACAGGGATCCCATCTGGGATTCTGACATTGAAACTATTAATGGTGCCTAATGATGCTATGATGATAATCATAGCAGAAATACACTCAGGATAAAAGCTCCAGCATCAAAAACAGAACAATGCCTTTTTATTTCTGTTGTAAATAAGCAAATGAATAGGGTAAGTGTTCTGTGTGGAAAAAGAAAATGTGGTCTCATTCACCATGTCCTCAAATTTTGTCAGGTCATCCTCTTTTTCACACCAGCTCACAACAAAATTGTGAGTATTTTTTAGCACTATTCACAGAATAGTGAATTCACTTACACAATAACCTTTTCATCAGATTCCAGAAAAACAAACACAAGTATATCAGCCCTGAAAAATAACCTGCAGCAAGATTCTAAGTTATACCTATTGTACTTATATTTTCAGCTAATAAAAACAACTCTCCCAGTAGTGAAATGTTCTCTTCTCCAGAGGCAGAACAGTCAAATCTCCATGACAGCTTGGCAGCAGGAACAATAACAAAAAATACCTTTCTGCTGGCATGTTGTGCCAGAAGAAAGGAAATTTTCCCCTGGCCCATTTATTAAAAGAGAAAGCTATCTTAAACCCAAACACTACTCAGAGAATTGTTATGCTAAAGTCATGCTCATATTCTTTTTAAATTCAGCAGAAAGAGGTTCAATTCAACTCAAAAAAAACCCCCAAAACACATGGAAAGCAATATGAAAAGGAAGGTATTTAAAATACAGTCATATAGGCCTTATTCCTGCAATTTAAAAAGAAGTTACCAATAAACATTTAAAGAAGCTGAAGTAAATTGGAGTTACATACTGAAGTATTGTCACAGAGAGCACGTGTAAGAAATTATTTATAAGGTTTTGGTGAGGCCAGAACTAAAACCCAAGTTTACTTTCAGGAAGTTTTCCAGTAAATTAGCGAAAATTCAGAAAGAAACTTAAGATAAAGGGCTGAGTGAGAGCAACAGGACAAAAGGACCACCTTGAAAAAGTTGGAAAAAAGCTTTAAATCATTAAAATAGGAAAAAGTGTAAGAAAGAAACTGAAGATGGTGGAGCTGTAGAGAAGAGTAAGAACTCGAATAATATCCATAGTTCAGTCAGGTGGGTCTTATTTGTGCAGTCTCTACGAATATGGAAAAAATATTCATCCTCACAGATGCTAAGAAGTAATTATAAACAATGCAACAGCATACATCATCAGTTTTTCGTCTTGGTTGATCTGAGAGAGAGATCAATCTACATAATGGCTTGGAAAATGTTTTAAATTCATATGTAATCACAGCTAGTAAAAATGCTCAGTATCTAAAGTAGTACTTGTATGTAACGAAGTTACTGTAAGTCTTCTAGCTCTCAGGTGGTGTGTTTCCTTGGAGATTGCAGGAAGGCAGATTGGACAGCACACAGGCTGTTCAGTGTCAAGGGCTGGCCACCCTAGGAGTGAGACTGTTCTGCTTTTCTCAAAGCAGCCTTTTGTTCGTGTTTCTTATGATTTGATAACCTCATCTTTACACTCATTATTTCACTGAAATATACATACTCACTATTCCTTTCAAAAACTAATTCTAGCTTGTTGTCATTGTCATGCTTGGAAGACAATTTGCATTTGATATTTTCTTGTGAACTTTACACATCCTGTCCCGTACGATTTTTATTTCTATGGAGTTCTGCAAAAGTGCTATATTTTGAACAGTAGTGTGATTGCTCTCAGCAGATTGCTTTTTTCTCTGCCGCAGCCTATCGGTTGTGAACATAAAAAGCTTTATATTCCAAGCATGAACAGATTGTAACACACCTTTTTTTAAAACAAAATTTGTCTGCCTGCCTCAAATTACACACTGTGAATATACTGTTTGCTTCATATGGCCAGTTGATGAAACACTCCATCATGTTATTTTGCCAAAAGCATTGTTCTGTCTGCTTGGAATAATATTTCAGGATCAAACCCACAACTTTCTCCTTTATTTGATAATGGATATAAATATGAGAAGTTTGTAGTATCTAGCTAGCTGGTAGACAGAAAGGGAATGTTTGCATTCAAATGGATATCGCAATAGCCAATTTGATCCTTAGGTAAAATAATGATCCTAGGAGTGTACACGGAATTATCAGCATTAAACTACTGTTTATAATCCATTCAAGTTTGTATCAGAATGGTATATAAACCATTATATATCACAATCAGATGCAAGACAGAAAGGCATTAAACTATAGTGGTATGTTTTAGGAGTCCGGAATGAAAGTAGTGCACTTATGTCTTCAGAATAATATACGATTTCTGTAATTTTTATTATTATGATAGTTTCTTGTGCTTCTGTTGTTCAGACTCATCACTGCCTTTTGATTTAAGGGCAGAGTTAATGCACTGGCTTTCACTTACAGAACCCTAACGGTTTGAATTCTAACTATGTGAAAAAAACCCACCTGCTTTTGCCTCCTTGTGATATTGACCCAATTGAAGTCAGAAGCTTGGATATGCAATACAAACATGGTTATGCCTGAACAGGGGCAGACTCATCTGAGATTAGTGAGAAGAAAGGTCAATGCAGAACAAACATTCTGAAAAAAGGCAGGGGGGCACAGTGCATGCTGGAGGCTTACAGAAACATGTTGCACATTGATCTCTAGGCCCTGTTTTTCAGGAGATAGTTGTTTCTGGTTAGCAAAGCAGAACATGGTTACATCAATGGAGACGCTGTATCTATGCCTGATGAACTGTAGCACAGAAAGTCATTTGAGACAGGAAGAGGCTCTGTATCTGGAAGACAACTGGGTGTAACTACATCATTCAGTGACTAAGGGAACCCTTTATGAGCAGTGGCTATCCTTGGAACATGAAGATGAAATGACTGACCCTATGGGTCGGAGTTGCTCCTTCTGTGCTACAAGACACAATTCTCTTATAGCAAAACAGTGATTCTACTCACGTCTGCAAAGGAGGAACTGCAGAGTAGCCTTCAGACAGAGAAACAAATTATTTTAAACAGGAGAGTGTCAGAGCCTTTACTCACATGTTTCGTGTTGTAAATAAAGCAGTGGCCTTTCTATTCTAGATATGGAGCTATTGGGAAGGGGAACGCACCAGGCTGTGGGAATGTACCAACCTCAAGGCCATGATTCATTTGCCCTGCCACCTTTTTCAATTATCCTATTTACTCTAAATAGCTGAAGAAAAACAGAGATCATGTGCAAATAATTAATTTTAAAACAATCCTGGAGGAAACATCTTTATGGCAAAATATGCTAATCCTTATCTTTAAATCACACACACACATATACACACAAAGATAGAAAGCCTGGGAGAGTCTGCAAAAAAATCAATTGCACTTCAGGAGTAACAGAGGTGATCAAGGGTTAAGCTGAATAAATCTGTCTAGTATTTAATACATATGGCTCTAAACGGAAAGAGCCCTTAGCCAAGGCATGTAGTCCCCGGATTTCTGAAATCATTTGAAATATAAGCAAAATGCTGATGTTTGGGGCTGAGTTCAGTATTAAGAGGGGGCTGTTAAGGAAACTTGCGTGTTCAGTTGTGTAATCAGGGCAGGGTAGGAGATTAAACAGTCTGATAAAAGTAAAAAAATCTTTTATTTATCCTTTTTTTCAGTCAGTTTTGGGCAAGCGTTTGAATCTCAAGGAACCTATTTCTAGTAGAGAAGCAACCAGAAAAGCTGTGATTTTAATATATTGAGGACACAGCTTCTAGTACGAATTAAGACCAGCCCAGCTGATGGAAGGATGGAATCGGGCATAGGTTTCCTTCCAACTCCAAAGAGTGATATGCTTAGAACTTACTAACCCTGCAGGATCATGATGCCAACCCGTTACTCTCAGAGCAGAGGCTAGTGGCAAAGGAGTGAGGGTAGCACAGGATTCAGCATACAGTAGCAACACAGGCTTTGTTGGAGCGTGGTGAAAAGCTGCGTTTAACAAAACCCAGCCAACCCATCTGCGTACAACCTTGTCACCAGAGTCCCCTGCTGGACATACCGGAAAGCTGCAGGAAGACAGAATGCTCAAGAAAACCACCCTTCATGCATGTTACGTGCATATAAACTGATTTTCTTCAAGTATTCTAGTGGATTATATTACGGCGATTTAGAGTGCTTTGTGCAGTATTCACGGCTTTGCTATGTGCTGATCAGAGTGGCGTTTGTGACTGTGGATGTAAGCGTGTGCATGCGTGTATTGCAGACCAGGGGGTTCCTTACCATTGAGAAGCCATGTGATCTGAGGCACAGGTACGCCTCCTACACAGCACTGCAGCACAAAGTCTTGCCCTTCACTCACAGTGCATCCTTTCAAGACACTGGAAAAGCATGGAGCAACCGCTTGAACTTTAGGCCCTTTAAAACCAAAATGAAAACAGTTCCTTTAACCCAAATTGAAAAAATTATCTTTACCGCTTAGTGACTTTTCTAGGTATGCTTAGGTGACATGGCTGGGCTAACAGATTCATCCCATGCAAACAAGCAAAACAAAAAAATCAAACCATTTCACCATGGTGAAATGTTTTATCGGGAAATAGAAATAATTTTGAGCAACAGACTGGTATAAAGAAGAGCTTCTTCTATAATCTACAAGGCAGGCTTTGCCAGTCCTCAAGCTGTATCTTAGGTGTTGGTTTTATATACCAGAATCCACCATTTGCAGCCTGTCACTAGAAGTGTTTGCAACATATTGCCAGGGAGCTCAGTGCAAAGGACAGGAAAGATAAGTCATCTCTCCTCTTGTCTGTCTTCTCCCAGTCCCTCTCCCAAATTTCCCCTGACTGGCAGTGAAACAGGGTGACTTAATGATGCAGTTTACAGGTCTCTCATGAGACAGAAAGTATCTTGGGTATCCTGGTTTAACCTCAGGCAGAGAAAATAGAGAAATGTTGCATAAACACGATCATAGCTCCAGGACAAAACCTAAAACCAGGTGAAAAGATTAGAATTGAGGACAGGATTTGCTAAGAGGCCAACAAATCTTTCAATCAGACCTGTAAGACAGTGCCTTCAAGCTCAAAATAATTTGTCACTGGGAAGTGTACTTGAATTTAGGAGAATGCAATTTTTATTACTTTATTTCTTATTCACTTTTCTGCACAGGATTGGTTTGTGCTTGCAAAACATTTCAGATATGCAGTGTCCTGTAGAAATGCTAAGCAACTCCAAAAGAACTGAATGCAGTACAGCAACAATAAAATCTTTGGCAACCTGTATTAAATACAAGCATTAATAGTGGAGAGTGGAGAGCAGGCCTCCCAGTATACAAAACATTCAATGAGATGGTTTTAGCTATATAGACAACAAAAACAAAGGGTCAGAAGGGAAACTGATGAAGAAAGTGGCTTGCCAGCTATCCCACACCACATTATTCACAGAGTTAGGAATTAGAATTAACCTGCATTGAGAAGTCATAATAGAAATTTTGTAGTCACCACCCTCTGATAGCTTAGAGAAGCCCAGCCACAGTTTTCAAAGTGCAGATGGGCTCACAGGAACAAACTTACTTCTGACGGTTAACAACCAGCTGGTGGAAGTCTGGCCTTGGAGGTTGAAAGCTGCACAGCTATAAGATCCACTGTCCCCCAAGCAGGCTTTCTTTAACCACAGGCAATGAATTCCATCTTCTTCATATATCTGCACGTCTTCTCCAGTTTTAATAGGTTTACCTTCTTTGAACCACTCCACATCTGGTTTTGGTTTCCCTGAAACTAGACAGTCAGGTATTTGAATTTTCATGAACAGGTATTCCCCTTAGTGTAATTCCATTATTTGCTTTGGTGTAAATTAGGTATAATTTACACATACCTAATTATACAAAACTTAATGAGCAAGTAATACACAAAACTATCTTCAAAAAGATGGTTTGATATTTCTGATCTTCCAAAATCTCTTGGCCAGTTCATCCTTAAAAATAAGAAATATCTGTAAACTTGAAAAACTCCAAGTACTTCTGTCTGAAAATCGTTCCTCTAAAAGTCACAGACATGCGATGTGATGAGATATTAGAGGAGAAAGAATGAAATTTCTCCCTATTCCTCCATACCCTTCTAAATTGGTTTCTCTGAGCATCTAGCAGTATTTTGCAATCCATGGTACCTGTCACTGAGGTTGTTTATTCTGGGACTGTTCAGTCTGGAGAAGAGAAAGCTCAAGGGAGATCTCATCAATGTATATAAATATCTGAAGGAGGGTGTAAAGAAGATGGAGCCAGGCAGCTCATGGCTTGGACAGGCATACCCTTTGCTGGGTAAAAAACTGGCAGGATGGCCGAGCCCAGAGAGTGGTGGTGAATGGAGCCAAATCCGGTTGGGTCCAGTCACCAGTGGTGTTCCTCAGGGCTCAGTGTTGTGGCCAGTTCTGTTTAACATCTTCATTGATTCATCTTTGGATGAGGGAAATGAGTGCACCCTCAGTAAGTTTGCAGACAACACCAAGTTGGGTGGGAGTGTTGATCTGCTAGAGGGTAGGGAGGATCTCCAGAGGGATCTGGATAGGCTGGATCAATGGGCTGAGATCAACTGTATGAGGTTCAACAAGAACAAGTTCTCGGTCATGCACTTTGGTCACAACAACCCCATGCAACACTACAGGCTTGGGGATGAGTGGCTGGAAAGCTGCCTGACAGAAAAAGACCTGGGGGTGTTGGTCAACAGCAGGCTGAATGTGAGCCAGCAATGTGCCCAGGTGGCCAAGAAGGCCAACAGCATCCTGGCCTCTATCAGGAATAGTGTGGCCAGCAGGACCAGGGCAGTGATCATCTCTTTGTACTCTGCGCTGGTGAGGCTGCACCTTGAACACTGTGTTCAGTTTTGGGCCCCTCACTATAAGAAGGACATTGAGCTGCTGGAGCACGTCCAGAGAAGAGCAACAAAGCTGGTGAAGGGCCTGGAGAAAAAGTCTTATGAGGAGCGGCTGAGGGAGCTGGGGGTGTTCAGTCTGGAGAAAAGCAGGCTGAGGGGAGACCTTATTGCCCTCTCCACCTACCTGAAAGGAGGTTGTAGCGAGGTGGGGGTTGGTCTCTTCTCCCTGGTAACTAGCAATAGGACAAGAGGCAATGGTCTCAAGTTGCGCCAGGGGGGGTTCAGGTTGGATATTAGGAAGAACTTCTTCACTGTAAGAGTCGTTAGGCATTGGAACAGACTCCCCAGGGACGTGGTGGACTCACCATCCCTGGAGGTGTTCAAAAAACATTTAGATGTGGCACTTTGAGACATGGTTCAGTGGGTTTAGTGGGCATGGTGGCACTGGGTATATGGTTGGACTTGATGATCTTTGAGGTCTCTTCCAACCACAATGATTCTATGATTCTTTTCAGCGGTGTCCAGTGACAGGGCTAGAGACAATGAGCACAAACTGAAACACAGGAGGTTCTGTCTGAACATAAACACTTTTTTACTGTGAGGGTTACTAAGCATTGGCACAGGTTGCCCAGAGAAGTTGTAGTGTCCCTCCCTGGAGATATTAAAAAGCCACCTTGACATAGTCCTGGACAACCTGCTTTAGGTAATGCTGCATGAGCAGGGGCATTGAACCAGATGAGCTCCAGAGGCTGCTTCTGACCTCAAACGTTCTGTGATTCTGGGTATTTTTTTTCCAGGCTACAGTCCAGGTGTAGGAAAAGCAGGCAGCTTCCTAGAACAGTAAACTTTCAGGAAGCAGAAGCAAAACAACTGTGGTTTCACTGCCTGTCTTGCCTGTATCAGAGCTCTAGAAAACCAGATTTGGCTCCTAGTAGTGCTGAGGGACGTCTGGGCTTCACAGGGCAGTTGTTATGATGAGCAAAGAGGAGAGACTAGGAGAGAATGCCAGAAAAGGTCACCCACCCCATCCTTCACTTATTTTCAGCAAACAAGGTCCTCTGGGGCTTTCATGATGCTGATGTTCCTTCCCTGCTCTACCCAGAGTGCTCAGCCCCAGTGGAAGGTACAGACAGTAAAAGATGGCAGGAATATCCAAAACAAAGACATATGATATACTGCAGGAAACCCTTCTGATCAGAGAATATACAAGGATAGGGGAGTGACTTATCAAGAAGAGTAACCCTTTGCTAGAAGCAGGGCCCCACATGATACACATGACTAGAAACAGGAAAACAAAGAATTCCTTCTTCTTGAAAAAAATAAGCAGGGCCTAAATCCAGCTCTAAATCCCTAAAAAAATTGGAAGAGGGCAGATTACTGTTACACCCACAAATAGGGTAAAAAGTGGAATGCCCATTGCATATATCAGAAAGCAGAAAATGTCCTTCTGTGAATTTTCTCCACTAGAAACTAGAAGTGGTTATTCAGAAAAGATTCTCTTTCCTGCTCAGCAGAGAAGAGCACATTAGAGTCCACAGACAATTAGTGAAGAATAGTGGAGTTGGGAGAACCTCCAAAAGCTGGGAGGAAAAAAAAAAAAAAAAGTCAAGCTCTGAAGTGTCAAAGAACCTGGATGCTTTGTAGTAACCATACAGACCCAGAAGCTTGCTGAGCTGACAGCCTGGCAGGTAGAAGCCTCCTTAAGGGTGTAATAGCATTTCCATTCTCCATTGCAACCAGGAAGCAGAAATGCCTGTGAAAGCAACCCTGGTCACCCCTTGCGGAGAGGATTCTTAGGACAGAGAGTTTCTCTGATTACTTGTTAAAGCGCACTAGGGACTTTCCACTGTAACTTCCCTACAGACACCTTGCCTTTGTATATAAGGGTTTGTGCTTTGGGTCCAGAGCCAAGTGAAAAGGCATGCACTGGCTTCAATAAGAACCAAATTATCTCCTTGGTTTCTGTACAACAGAGACTACATTTCCCTACCAAACAGCATCATGAATTAATTAAACCTTGCAAAGTTTTTGAGGTGCTCTGATGGAAAGCAATCCGTGTTCTTAGTACTAATATACCTGAAAAATAAACTATTCTAAAGGTGCCAGGATCTTTGGAATATTTTCTCTCCTTCTAACTCTCTGGGCTTGTGATACAAATTGTATTCTTTACTCAAGGGGCAAGAACTATCAAGAAATCAGATAAATTACCATGGGTTTGTTGTGATTCTTTTTTTCCTCGAGAGACATAAAACCCAATTTCTCTCTCATTTGTCAGAACACTTTAAACTGCAAATGTTATTTAAAAAAATAGCACAAAAATGGTTCAAAATTATTTTCTACTAAAATTATAATAATAAAAAAGATAAGTGTTCCAAATCTACTCCCTGGATTCAGCAAAAAGCAGCCCTCATTACCCTTCTGACAGGTTAAAATCTGATCAAATTCTGTGGAGCAAAATCTAAACCTCCTTTTTAATTCTGACTTTACCATTTCAGTTGTTAGGAAGCACTCAGATCAGCACTGACCAAATATGAGGGGTAAAAGTAGATGCTGCAAGGGAAATGCAGTGACTGATTGTAGTTTCTTATCATTTTTTTGGCTCAAGGGTAATATAAGTAACTGCAGTTCTGGAAAGTGTACCATCAATTTTCTCTCTTGTATCCTTATATAAGAGGCCCTAAAATGACATCTTAGAAAAAGTAGTATTTATTACATCTGAGGAAACTCCAGATGAGAGAAGGGATGGATGCTATGGTATGGAATGATTTGAAAATTTCATTGAGAAGAGTATTGTGGAAACAGCATGAGATTCTGCATCAATTTCCAAAATGCTTTATGAGGAGGACAAATTGCAATGAAATAGGAATTTTTGCCCCAATTCTACACACAGAAGGAGAACCTGACTAACCCCAGGGCTCTGATAACTTTCATGCTTTTACCTTTGCTCTTGAATTTAATCTCCTGGCCTTCTGATGCTTCCAGGCTCTGTGGACGGCTCTCAAACTGAGGGGAAATTCCCAGAGGTTCCCTCTTCTCCTCCATTACAGCCTTCTGGGCTCCAGATCTGTTTTCTGCTTCTCTGCTCCTTGGGCTGACTTGCCCTGTCAGAGATGGAGTTTGTTGAGCTGACATCATGGGCTGCACAGCTCTTTTCCTGTCTTCATCCTGTCTGATGAAAGTGGTCTGGGGTTCTGCCTTTGGTTCTGGTTGCAGTTTGACAGCTTGTAGTGTGATGGTGCTTGATGTTTTCTGCAAGACCTGAGATCCCTTTTTTCCTTCTTTAGGTTCTTGAGGAGAGACTGCATTGGCTTCTTGGTGATGTCCCTGCTTACTGTCTTTGGCTTCTCTGGTGAGGTAAAAGGTCTCTTTCTTTGCTGACACTCTGTCTTTAGTTTTAGCCATAAGTTCAGAGCTGCTGGATTTCAGCTCTTTATCAATCCCATTGCTAGTTACCTGCTTGAATTCTGAATTTTCAACAGCTTTAACAGCAAGTGTTGTTGGTTTTGATGGCATGCTGAAGAAAAATGAGAAGTTTACAGATATATGCACTGTATAAACGCTAATTATTATCAGCAGCAATGATATAAATGTACAATCCCTTAGCAAGAAGGTGAACTAATTAACCTTTTGTTTCCTTCACACAGATTAAGAACATGGATGAAACAGGTGAAGCGAAAATCTTCATAAAATGTGATCAGTGCTCAGACACTGTCTCAACTGAGGAGTTGCTGAATACAAATCCACTGCTCAGGTTCTGACATGTTTTCTGAGTCAGATACTAACCTTGCATACACTTTTTTAGATAGAGAGCAATTATGTGAGCCCCTGGAATGATCATGATGTAACACTACTTCATGCTTTAATAATTTGAGTCCACGTATAATTATAGCTCATAATGCCACATAAAATAGTTCCCTAAAGGGAAATGAAAACGTAAATTGTGCAGTGAATTTACTATTTCTAATTATGATGTCTTGCAATTTAGGTGATTTCAAAACAGGACTGACCAGGAAACTTTGACTAAAGTCTAGGGGAGAGGAGGTGTTGTCAAAAAAAAAATAATCAATTGATTGGATGTAACAATATCAGTTATGGTTTTAGTAGGAAGAGTTTCTCAGAATTATGATGGGTCTGCTGCTCAGTACTTTGGGGGCACAAGAGTAGCTGACTAACTGGGGACTTGAATCTAAGTTTGCTTCATTGAAGTTGACTTCCCTGACCACTGAGCTATTACCTATAGAGCACTGTGTGTCTCACACTTCCAAAGTATTATTCCAAGGCAGAATTGGAACATATTTGAAAGACAGGAAGTAATTTCTAGACCAGCTCTGTTTTGCTATACTTAGAGCCGTTGACTTATTCTCTCAGGGAGATTCAGGATATTTATTGTGGTACCTTCTTTAGCCAGAGTTAAATGTACTAGAGAAACAATGCCCATGAGATTTGCAGTTACAATGCTAAGATCTTTACATTTTACAAAATATTTCTTTTTTTTGGTGAATAAACAATGGAGGAGGCAAAACTACTCTGGAGAACCCAGTACCTGGTGAGTTCTGGCTGTAGAGCTGCACAGTTTCATTTACACTAAATTTAAAGTACATTCCTAAAAATCACACAGACCTGAAAAACAGGGTAGCACAGTGTTTTCAGATCCACTTTGCAGTGGACATGGAGTTAAAACAATGTAAACATGCCATTTTGAAATCCCATCCAGGGAATGTGAGGACAGATTAAACACTATAAAACAACTGGCCTTCATGAAAGTTACTTACACAGTCAGCTTAGAGCATTTCATTCCTGCGTTTTCTATTCATGAAGAAAAGTAATTTTACAAAATTATTTTTTAAAAAATTATAGTAATTTAACTTTAAAATTCTTGATATAGCCCTAAAATATGAAATTTTTTGTTTCTTGTTATTTTACCCATACTTCTGTATGTATTTTCAGACAACAGCAAAGACCAAGGCCATACTATGTTTTGCTTATGACAGTAAAGAACAACTTGCTCAGTGCTGACAAGATGCGTGCAGGTTTTTGACTCCAAAAAGGAAGTTTGAGCAATTGGTACAGAGTATAATTTCTCCTCGCATAGTTTTTGTTCAGATTATATAACTATTTCGCTACATGGGAACAGTGAGCATAAAGCCATGTAAATTTTGTTTTCCTGAAGCAGATCAGAACTCTGTACTTCATAGTGTTGCCACCAATTCCACCAACTATTTTGTCGGAGTCTACCAGGACAGCTGAATTTGGCAGTAAGAGAGAATCTCATTCCAAGTCAACATTTTCTAACTTCCAAATACAGACTGACCGAAAACCATGCATCACTTTGTGAGGAAGGCTCATGCAGTAAATGTCAGAACTAGTGCACTGCAATTAAATACTCTGAGAAAACATTTTAGTAAAAACATACCATGGTGGCTGAGCGTATATGTCAGTCTTATCTGGACCTGAAATTAAAAAAAAATAAAACCCAGTAACTTATACATACAATACTGTACAAAATTCCATAAATTTGAAAGATTTTAAGCAAAGAATATACTTAAGAACCTTCACTCTTCATATTTTCAATCCATTGAAGTCAAGATTGACTATCACCACACCTGAAATTTGATATGGATAACAGCACGCTGCTCAGTGGAAACACCAAGAGGTCTTGGTCCATTTTGAGACATTGCTGAGTCAACTAAATTCTCAAGTCCCTTGAGAACTAAAGGTTCTGTGAGCCTCAAAGGCTCCTTGTTGGGGGAGAGAGGCAAGGAAGAGATTCCAACTGGGAGGCAGTTCACCAAATCTTATGGGAACTCCACAGAGCTTGCAGAAGTGGAGAAAGACAAACCATCAGTACTACACCTAAGGATGCCCACAGTGAAACTGCAGCTGTTCTCTGGCTAAAACACAAAACCAAATTAATAGTAGTAAAAAATTCCGAAACCTGAGCCCACCTGTAAACTTTTACCAACTCATTTGCTGTGTAGCAAGTATTATTATGTTTAACATGAATAACACAAAAGTTAATACATCACATTTCTTCACTTTGCAACACCACCAGGAAATCTGGGAACGTGGGTGAGCTATATTGATTTGTCAAGGTACCTCATCAGCTGCACTGATATAACTGAGCACATATTTGCCCATAGTCAGTCCCTCAGTTCACATGTATGTAATCTGCCATGCATTCGCCCAGATTTGTTTCTCTTGGGGGCAGCATGGGATAATAAATAGTTGGGAGGAGAGAGATACCACTCCATATCAAGTACGAACCACATCTCTCCATTTTCCCCTAGTTAACACTACAGGATGCAGCTTGTTTTCTCCTGGTCAGATCAAAGTTGCATCTACGTTGTTGTCAGCTGTGAGATTAGGAACTACAGTAGAAAGCCATGTAATAATGAATTTATAAGATAATAAATTATGCAAGTCATCAACAAATACTCCATAAAAATGCCTCAGGGAAAAGCCAAAAACATGTGATTGATGATACCCTGATTTCCACTGTGTTTTGCAAGCAAAAATCCACACCTAAATGCTTGGACTTGCTGCTCCATTCAGAGTGGCCAAAAGAATCTATTTACACACACACAAAAGTTGCAGTGAGAGAGGGAAATAACCCATTGACTTCACTTCAATAAACCTGTCAATAAACAGTAACAGAAATTCTTCACATAAAAATCAAAGCTGAAAACAGGCTAGATAAATGCAGATGAGTAAGCTGAATAACTACTGTTTGCAGACAAGACAATACCATGCAACTTTGTCAATTAAAAGAACAATTTCCCTCTCCCTCTCCACTTTCCACTAAGGGAACTTTCGGAAAAAAATGTAGCTCTTGGAATAAGATTATCTATATATGAGATTGCATAGATTTAAAAGAATATGTAGTCATTCTGAGCCACTTGATTGTCTGCTAGCATCTTGCAGCAACTCCTATGACCTGATTTAACTGATAATGAAAGAATTAGGTATTATATATCGTGGTTAGGTAAGTGGAATCATCCAATTAGTCAAGTACATTGCAAGAGAGTGCCCTTTTTACTGACCTGTACTAATCCAAGAAAGAATGCCCGCATTATTCAGAGATGCGGTCAGCATCTGAAGCAAACATATACCACAACTGACTTTGTGACCCCAGTTCCGCATCATCTCTCAAGCAGATGTACCCATTACACAACAGAAAGCTTACCACTTCAGGGAGAGCAAGTAAGGATCAAGTTTCATGTTTTAAAAAAAGGCTTACTGAACAAAATGTTCCTTTCTATAAAACATCAGTTGAATAGGCAACCTGTAGAAGCTCCTTCTATAACGGCTTCATCAGCTTGGAACTTACAGATAAAAAGTACCACTTTAAATGGTAAAGGCTAGTTGTGGTTCTGAGGATTCCAAATGTAAATTCTCTTGTTACTTATATTCTTGTTACCTTACGGAGTGACAGCATTGATGTGAACCTAAAAATCTTGCATCAAAAAATTCACTGCTGAGTACATGTGTAATCCACTGATCTTATGACTGCAGCTGAAGCCAGCAGCTGTTGATTAAATTGTTTAATTGGGTCCAATAACTGCTTACCCACTGACTGATGAAATTCCTCTTTAGTGTGGTTGCTGAAGACTGTATGATTTTGAGGCTGATTCAAAGGGCACCCTAAGAAGCATCAAACTGCAAAATGAACTGTATATGGTAACGCATCTATGGAACAGAACATCCTAAATTATTTATACAAAGATATTTATTTCCTTTAACAGCAGTGAAATAAGGCAGGATTGGGAGTTGAGAAGCCTGAATTTTAATCTCATTAATCTGTTTTTTCACTCCTACAGTTTAGAGTTATGCTCCTTTACTTTACTTTCCTGGTTCTATGAATATATGTACAATTTTGTTCCCCAAAAGGGAGCTTGTATAAATGTGTATCTGGTGTTGGTACTCAACAAATACAAAATTAATTACTGATTATAATGACAAGTGCAAAGTTTCCATTCACTGAAATTAAAATCTATGTTCAAAACATATGGAGGTCAAAATCACAGTAAAAGTGAAAATTTGGGTTTAAAGAAAGTTGTTACAAAGCATTTGGATAGCCTTTTTCCCATTGAACCAACACAATGTTTTCAGCTGTAGCACACTCCAAGCTATCGCAGTATCATTTAATGAAGAGAGAGGAAGATAATGGGAAAAAGTGAATGCTTATACCGAGAACACAACCAAAGACATTTTAAAGGAATGTCTGTGGTTCACTTGTGCTCTTTCCTGTAAACTCTTTACTGTACCTTGAACGGTGAGCTCTGCAGACACAGATGCCTTCCCAGCACTGTTTACCACCGTGCACGTGTAAATTCCTGAATCAGCAAGCTGAGCATTTTGGATTTCCAAGAATTGGATGCCTGTTTTCTCAAACATGTTGAAAC